TAATATTGGTCTCATAATTAATTTTTCGTTATTTTTAAATTCTTAATTATATTTTTGTTAGTCAAGTATGGCTCTTCAGTTGATTTTTAATTCTAAATGTTTAACGTGAAACAATGAATTTTTTTTGGAATAATCATGTATTAAATTTCCCCCCCGCAAATAATCATGTTTCGGAAAAAATTACGCAAATAACTATGTTTCAGAAAATTCTTCAAGGGAGGAGCCATCTCACTTGGCGTCTACACCTAATTTTTAAGGGGAGACGCCATCTCACTTGGCGCCTAGGTGTTAAAGGCTTGCCCTAAGCCAAGTGAGATGGCGCCTTAGTGCAATTGGAAGGTAAATTTTTGCGTTTTTTTTAATTTTAAATACGGTGCGTTACATATTCGATATAGGATCATATTTACAAAATATGATTACACACATAACTATTACATAAAAAAACAGATTAATCAGTGGTCTCCCAGAACTCGGTAATGACCCCCGGTTCCGCATCCCCGTCCTCGCTTTTCCCGTGCTGGGTTTCGTCGCGTTTCCTGTTGTGGTAGGATCGTTGGTCCAGCGAAGTCAATGCGTTCTGAATCCATGAAATCAGTAAGATCTCCATATCTAAAAGATCCGCTTTGGTACAGTCGGTTACCCATATCCTCAAAGTTTGGTCGCGTTGGTGGTGGGTGGGATTCCATAGTTGGTCTGTAGCACTGGTCTTCTGAGTACGAGGGGTAGAAAGGAAATGGATCTTGGGGTGTTTGGTATTGAGGATGTTGGGTGCTTTGGTGATGTTGTGGTTGATGGTAAGTTGGGTCGGTTGGTTCATAATTTTCGGACAATTCCAGATCAGGGCTAAGGTTGGATGTTGAGGGCCCCATATTGGGATATGTAGAAGACAAAAATTGTGTGTGGGGTATGCGGGTGTGTTGGTATTGTGATTGAAATTGTGGTTGGGTGTGAGACATATGGGGTATTGGTACTGAGGTGGTGATTGTGGTTGGTTGTGGGGCATGTGGGTGTAATTGTATTGTGGTGGTGACTGTGGTTGGGTGTTTGTGGTTCTGTTTCGTCGGGGGGTTAGTGGGAGGTTGATGTGTGTTGGATTTGTTGTTGGGGAAATGAGGGTTGTGCCCATTGTGTTCATGGGTCAACCAAATACCTTGGATGAGACACGTGCATTTCAGGGGTACTAATCGATTTGTACCAAGATAAATACTGATCTGTGTGTCGCATATTACCATGGTTGAGGAAAACTGGGAATTGCAAGACATGTCGGTGACGCCTCTGCCACATCTTACACCATTCTGGAGCAAAGTCTTTCCAGTTGCTAAGACCCCATTGGGCGTCGGCCCTTTTGAGATGCCACGAGGACAAACAAGTCGGATCGTTGAATATCTCTTGATGCATTCCAAACTGCATCTTTACACGGTCGTTGTGGTGCATCTCCATAATATTGAACCGTATGATTGCAGTCTTTGCGCTCCAAATTGTTGCATCCTCGGGATTTGGTTCATGGTCCAAACCCAAATATGGTCTCCAGGAAAACTGCAGATAAAATTAAATCAGGTTAATGAAAACGTAATATATAAATAATTTAAAAGTAGAAAAGTTGAAAGGTACGACGTACATCATCCGGGCCAAGGTGATCTAATAGATTGCGGTATAGTGCGATATTGAATCTTGGATTCTTGCCGTAATCCATACCCCTCACGCAATACCTAAAGGAAATGAAAAATATTTTATTTTTATCATATATTTGGTGAAGGGATGAATAGTAATAAATGATATAACTCGATGACTTACTTTGTTGCGTATGAGAAAACGAATGTGTTGTTGTTGACGGGGTTAGGGACTCCATCCTCCACCAACCCCAAGCTTGAAGTAAAAAATCGCAGCCATAAAATATACATTTTTCCTTGATTGCATTTTTACACAAGGAACTGTATAGATGGGCGTAATCAATCTTTTCTTACAGCCGAGATATCCCAAAAGTCCGATCTCAATGAGCGTAGCATCGAGTATCAACCAATCTTTGGTCAGAACCAAAGCCGGCTATCTCACTACTTCCTAATAGCCAAGTTGTTCAATTAAGGTTCTAAAGTCAGTTAGTGCTTCATGACGCTGCTCAGCGGCCCCGTATTCTCATTGATTTAACACAAGGGATACCGGTATCAACAAATGTGTCACACTAATGTAGCCATTGCTTCAATCGTGTCGGTCTACGTCGTACAGTTTCCATAATCTATTGCTATTTACCTAAAAGGTTCCCCAGATCCGGATAGAGGATTAAAACAAACCCAAACAAGGAACCATAATATAAAGCAAACAAGTCAAACAATGAAAAGCAAGTAAAGGTGATCTAGCCCTAAGGAACCATAATGTTTTAAAATAGAGCGTGATAGATCACATTAGAACTTGAAATTATGTTGTCTTGAAACACACTCAATGGTGGAACTTAAGTTTCAATGAAACTTGTTGAAGAAGACGTGGAAATAAACACACGAGCCTATGAATCTTCTTGATGAATACCACCACCAACCTTGAGGAAAACTTGACCTAAATAAAGTGAGAGAGCTCTTTGAACCAAAAAACTTTGATATCATAGACATAGCCTTGAAGCTTAAGCTCTTGCAATCCATTGAAGAACCATTTAACTGAGGACCATCCCTCAAAATCCTATGTTAGATGGATGCAATTCTGTCATCACCTACAATATGAACATTCAAAGAAACATATATATATATATATATATATATATATATATATATATATATATATATATATATATATATATATATATATATATATATTATGTTAGTTAAAAGTTAATTCAACTAAAAAAATACATGTATAAGATACACAATTCAAGGTGCTTGGTGATCACTCAATAGCAAACTTAAAGATATGATTGAGTAGAAGGGAGAACCAACCCTATGTGTGATCTTGATATATTGATAATATGAGATAGTGAGAGATCTTAGGGACATAAATTGGGGTATGACAATTGCCCTTATTAAGTGTCTTCTATCCGAAGATAGGAAGGTTAAAATCTTCGTCTTGACGCAATTGAAGATACTTAAATACAAAAAAAAAACCTATTTTTGGCCCTAAGATGCCATGCAATGCTTATGATTATGAATGCAAATGATCATCTCTAAAGGTGGCATAGAACACCATTGGGGAAGCAAAAATAGAACCAACGGATCGAAAGAGAGTTCGACCAGGAAAATAAATTGTCGGGGAACAACACGACTCTGGGGATGACCATAAATAGGCAAAACCAAAATCACGATCAAAGAATCCAAATGCATAGTAAGATTTCAATGATGGAAAACTCTTAACAATGCAAGCAACAAAATATCAAGGATGTAACCATTAAGAAAGGATTATTGACTCGACTGGAGGAAAGAAATTCAACTCCACTAGAAGAAAATCAAATTCGCTGGGAAAAGAAGACTCAACTCTACTGGGATAAAGTCCAAAGAGGAGACAAAGTATCATCAAATAAAAAAAAGGAGAAAAAAGCAATGGATAACAACGACCGATAGACAATTGTGAACTACCCACTCATAGGAGATTCAGAGAAGGTGGATAAAGCCCTTGATATCATTTAGGAGACCAGTCTAGGATTAGGTCTCGAATTGAATATTCATAAAATTGAAATCTTTTGGCCATCGTGCAATGGTAGTAAACTTTGTAGGGAGTGTTTCCTTTGGAAATTGGGAGGCTGATGTTGGAGATGAAATTTCTTGGAGGGGTTATTTTTGTCGTGATGAAGGCTTTATCGAGGTGTTGTCCATGAAGAAAGCGACTAAAGTTGTTGAGTTAATGCATCTTCTACTAAAACTAAGAAATTCTTAGAATGAGTTTCTTCTACTCTGTTCTTGCATGGGTATCACCAAACTCTTTTTTTGGCCTTAGAACGTGTAATCATATTTTTGGAAAGAAACGATTTGATTTGATAAAGAGTTGCGAAGTACGATTGAAGACATCATGGTTTGTGAAGGTCCTTTCTCCAGGGACTTTCAATAGATGATGACTTCTTTACCTATTAGAGTTAAGAGATCGATGCTATACTCGGTAGTAAACGTTACCTCATACACATTTCTGACTTCTATGGCCCAATTTTGAGTGTTACAGGATCATATATTGAGAGACAATAAGATATATTGTATGAACTTTGACTTCGACAGAGCTTTGAATGATCTTAGTGTTGTGATTCCAGATTTAACGTTAGTGGTTATTTTGGAAAATGTATTGTCACTCCTAAAAGTATTCAAAACATGGATGTGAAGTTTGACAAAATCAAAAGATAGAAAGTAATTTTTAGTTGTTTGTAAGCAACACATATATTTTCTCCTTATTATCCTTATTGATGGTCTAGACCAACATATGTCATAAGTAAAGTATTGTACCATCTTTAAATACTGATTTATGATTCTCTTATTTTCGATTGATGAGATTCATCATGTTTATCACAAATACGTGTTTCGATAATTTTTTTTTCATTATAACTATAAGATGCTTATCATAATTGATTCATTTGGAAGCTTTTTTTATCTCTTTCAATTTGTTCTTTACATGATTCCAAGGTAAAAACAAATTGAGATATTTTTTATCATGTAAAGTTCATAAGCATCCGGTCAAAATTTGTATGTAACATAATGGTTTAGTATATAGTTCTATCAATGTTTGTATAAACAAAAAGAGCCCTATGAATTTTATTGAGTAAAATAAATTATTTTAAAAATTGTGTATTAAGTTATATTGTTTTGCTAGCCTAGGATAGGAGATAAATGAGTTAATTAGTTGAATGGATAAGGTTAACAAACCATGTAGTACTAGTGTTGGTGGGTATAGTAAATGGAAAATAACAAAATTTTATTTTTTAAAGTAAAAAATACTAGTAACTAATTTACTTGAAAATAAATTCTAAATATGTTGTCATATTTTTCTCCTCTTATAATTATCTGATTGAGAAGTAAGAAGAAAAGAATAGAAGAAAGGAAATGGAAAGGATTGTATGGATCCTCATCTCTCTCTCACTGTCTCTTCTCGCTACTCACGTCAGATCTGATTCCTCCGATCACCGTTACGCCGACGGCGATTCCGTTCCTCTCTACGCCAACAAAGTCGGTCCGTTTCACAATCCCAGGTTCGCACTTCCTTTCTCCGATCTGCCTCCGATTTCACCGTCGTCAATTTCATCATGATTATACTGATCTAGGTTGTTTTAATTTCTTATTATTTTTTCTGATTTATTGTTTGTTTGATTGATTTCAGTGAAACGTATCGTTACCTTGACCTTCCATTCTGTGTAACAGGTAATGTTGTTCTTCAGCTTTTGTTATTCATTATTGCTTAATTTTAATATACGATCTTAAAATGAGTGAATTCGAATGCTAGGTCATGAGAAAGAGAAGACCGAAGCGCTCGGCGAGGTTTTGAATGGAGATCGGCTTGTTAGTGCTCCGTATGAACTTCATTTTAAGAAGGAGAAAGACTCTAATCTTGTTTGCAAGAAGAAGCTTACTAGGGAGGAAGTTGTGCAGTTCCGAGAAGCGGTTAAGAAGGATTATTATTTCCAAATGTATTACGATGACTTGCCTATTTGGGGATTTATTGGTACTGTTGACAAAGAAGGAAAGAGTGATCCGAGCGAGTATAAGTATTTTCTTTATAAGCATATTCAGTTTGATGTTTTGTATAATAAGGATCGCGTGATTGAGATCAGTGCTCGTATGGATCCTCATTCTGTGGTGGATGTGACGGAGGATAAGGAAGTTGATGTTGAGTTTATGTATACTGTGAAATGGAAGGAAACAGAGATTCCTTTTGAGAAGAGAATGGAGAAATACTCACAATCTTCTTCTCTCCCGCATCACTTGGAGATTCACTGGTTCTCTATTATAAACTCGTGTGTAACAGTTCTTCTTTTGACTGGTTTCCTGGCAACCATTCTCATGCGTGTCTTGAAGAATGATTTTATGAAGTATGTCTTGCTTGCTCATCATTCATTCTCCGGATTGTCATCCTATTGCCTATATATGAAATTGGTTTATTAATCCATTTTTTCCGCTTCAATTTTCTCCAGATATGCTCAAGACGAGGAAGCTGCTGATGATCAAGAGGAGACAGGATGGAAGTACATTCATGGGGATGTTTTCCGGTTTCCTAAGTACAAGTCCATATTCGCAGCTGCGCTTGGTTCTGGCACTCAGTTATTCACTCTGTAAGAATCTTCTGATGGGTCTTATTCCCTTCTTTGTTGAAGCTTTGTTTTTATTATAAGTTATAAAATTAAGTACATGTAATTTTCTGTTTGTTTTTTCTTGTGCAGCACAATCTTCATTTTTATGCTTGCACTGGTTGGTGTATTCTATCCCTACAACCGAGGAGCTTTATTTACTGCACTGGTGGTTATATATGCTCTCACATCTGGCATTGCTGGCTATACTGCTACTTCCTTCTATATTCAACTTGAAGGGACTAATTGGGTATATATGAATTGCTTGCACGAATTATTGCACTGTTTGATTGTATTAGTTAATTTAATTCTTGTGAAATGCAATATTTACACACAGATTTTCTTGTTTGACAGGTTAGAAACTTATTGCTGACAGGATGCCTCTTCTGTGGCCCTCTTTTCCTTATGTTTTGCTTCCTTAACACAGTTGCAATTGCCTATAGTGCAACTGCTGCCCTTCCTTTTGGCACAATTTGTGTGATAGTCCTAATATGGACGCTTGTAACTTCGCCATTACTTGTGTTGGGTGGCATTGCAGGTAAAAATAGTAAAACAGAGTTTCAAGCACCTGTCCGCACTACAAAATATCCCCGAGAAATTCCACCTCTGCCTTGGTACCGAAGCACCCTTCCACAGATGGCAATGGCAGGATTTCTCCCTTTCAGTGCCATCTACATAGAGTTGTACTACATTTTTGCTAGTGTGTGGGGCCACAGGATTTATACTATCTACAGCATACTCTTCATCGTCTTTATTATTCTGTTGATTGTCACTGCTTTCATTACTGTGGCTTTGACATACTTTCAACTTGCTGCGGAAGATCATGAATGGTGGTGGAGGTATGTAACTTATCTTATGGAAAATGCTTTATTGTACGAACTTGTATCAAGCGCTAATGATGTGGTGATTTTTAGCAAAACTGAATTTTACGTTTTTCTATTTTTTATTTTTATTTCTTTTTTTGAAATCAATAGTCAGTCACATATATTTTCGTGTGTTTTATGTGGTTTTCTATTCGTACCGCATAGCACCGCTTCTCATCTTAGTGCTACCTTCCGCCATAGTTGCTTTTGAGAGTTTTCCAGTTTTGTGTGATGCATTTTTTTTCTTCGTTTTTCACTGCATATCATCTGTTCTTGGGTTAAACGGAATTATCTGTGAAACTATGCATAGGAAAAGGGGGTCAAACTAAAAGCTTATTATTATACTTGTACTACAAATGTAGAAAACAAAATTTCAAGAAATAAATTTTCTAGCATCACTTTTTGATTATACATTCCATATAAAAGCTGGACTATATCCACAATCACATATTTTCTAAATTAAATATCAAAAACTCAGAAATAAGATCGTAAATGTAAATATGAAATCATAATGAGTTGCACTAGTAATAATAATTGTTCATTTTCTTTCATAATTTTTCTCTGTTGTCCTCTATATTCTCATCTTGTTAATTTGGCTCCCTCAACATCGAGGAACACACATGTTGAGTGAACCTGAATAATCAGATTTGTGCAGTTTATGTTTCATTCCTTAATCCCACTAAGTAGGGCATATATTCAGGGAAATGCTAATTCTAGGTTGTGTACTCTAAAGCATGGTACCTGTAAAACTATGAAGTACCCGGAACTGGTACGAGTATATGGTACTCGCCGTTACATCCTTTTTCCTCATTACTCTGTTGTAAGTGAAATTTGTGGTTTTTTTTTTTTGGAATAAGGCTTTCATGTAAAAAAAAAGGTGTTACAGCAAAAAGGGGGAAACAAAACACCCAACAAAAAGAGGAGAATCTAAAGAAAGGTAAACCTAACCTATTCTTTACAAAATCACTCCGAATCCCATTCGGGATGGAGTCAAAAAGTATCCTAGAAATGGTGCTGAGACCTATATTTGCTAAAAAGTCTGCGCACAAATTTCCTTCTCTTTAAATATGCGTCACAAATAAGTTAGGAATGTTAGATGGATGCGTGTTGAAAAGCCATCTGTTTCTAATCTCCCTTGGAACTAAACTGGGGTTGGAGAAGGCTTTGACCACCAGAGCACAGCACAGTCTGTTTCAATCCAAAGCTTGCGCCAACCACGCTCAAGAGCTAAATCAATAGCAACAATCACCGCTGAGAATTCAGCAACTAAGGCAGAGGCAGAAGAGACTCTTTAGCAAAAGCTAGAAGAAAATTACCACTTTCGTTTCTGAAAATACCGGCACAACTGCACGCATTCCATAGCAGTTTCCCTTGATCCAACCCAAAGATGGGGGTGCCAAAGAAGTCGAGGTCGAATAGACACTCCAAAAGCCTTAATAATCACAAAATCAGAAATGATATTAATATAATATAATATAATATAAATAAAATAGTATCATTTGTGTGTTTGAGTTTCTTTGCTGTTCTAACCAAAGAAAGTTTGAGTTTTAAATCTTTTATTGTGATGTTTTGTTATTAATTAAACAATTTAGCTCTCATGTTATATTATATAAAAAAACTCTTATATTTTTGATGTACCGTACCTTGATTTTTCTTTAAATTGATGTATCTTGTACTCGGTATCTGTGCATCATAGAACATGCTCTACTATAAAGCATGCATGTTGTTTTGGATGTATATTTTGATGTTTTAAAAACCAAACCACAGATCAACCTAGTTTCATTGAAATTACCGTTCAAAACATTTGTACATCTAACCAGATTTTATGGAAATTTGTTTAAAAGCCCTGGGCTTTAGGTTAGGGAGTCTGTTGTTGGTTCTACCTCCAATTTGTGTCCTAGTAGTCGTCAAGCTTCACTGAAATGGAAGGGTCTATTTCCTTCCATCCTTTTCCCACATTAGTGTGTTAGACTCTTCAGTTTTGTAACGGATATTAAATTATTAGTAGAGTTAGTGGGTAATTATTAAAATTATTATATTATTAATCGTGAAATTGGATAGTAAAAGGGCCATTTTGGCATTTGGGAGGTGCAGGCCTTCGAGGTTCTGCAATATCATTATGTAATTAAAGGGAGTTCTGTATTTCTTATTCTATATCAGTTGGTTTCTATCATAGTACTCTTCAAAAACATAGTTTGAGTTATTCCACGTGTAGTTAGGTAAGGATTATCCCAACAAGTAATGCCCGTCATCAGTGCAGGGACATATTTTAGGATTTTATTTTTATGTTTTTTTACAACAGCTATCTTTTAGATTTCTGCATGTAACTTTGTCACATGCATGGTAGTCAAAATTAAGATTCTATTTAGGGTTTGAAAGATGAGTGGAAATTGTAAACCGTTTGATCATAACACATCATTTTGTCAAAGATCATATGATTTTTATTACCATGTTTATTTTAAGTTCTCTATAAAAGGTCCTTAACATTGAACTTAAAATCAGCTGTGTCGGTTATATTATCTGTCTCTTGTCCTTTTTTCCTCTCCTTGTCCATACTGTCTCCTTTCTCTCCTTTCCAATTTCCATTCTGAATGAACAAGTAACTTAATGAATCAGTTACAATCTATGTAAGTTTTTTTTATTTTTAAATTTTAATTCCACGTGGCTTACGAGTCTCATTCTGGGGTGGTAAAAAGCCAACACGAAAGTAATGCTTGTGTGGCAGATATAAGAATATTATGATGAGTGTGTAACCATATAAGACAGGATTATGAGTGAAATAGTAATTAGAGAAAAAGTAAGATAGCTTCCATTGTTTAATAAATGTTTCGAGTTAGGTGATTTAGACATGTGTGAAAAAGATCTTTAGAATCACCGAAAAGAAAGAAGTGTACATTAAATGGAGGATAATCTAATTAAACTTTTAAACACACCATTAAAAGAGATATGGGTTCAACTGGTCTATCATTTAATAAGATTCTTGATAGGAAATTATAGCATCATTAGATTCATGTAGTTAACATTAGCTAATGAAAAATGGCTCTGATTGCCGTTTATACATCTCCCCCATATATTTGATGTCAGTTTTGTGCAAAATGAATACTAACCATACACTTCCTAAAACATATTTTTTGTTGAATTTCTTTTGGATGATATTCTTGGTGATGTATGTGGGCCTGTAGTCCAAATCAAAGTTTGTCATCTTGCATATGATCAAGAGGGGGTAGCAAGATTGTCAAACATAAGATAGGAAGATTCTACCCAATTTTTTGTTAGGTTGAAAGGGGTAGCAAGATCCAAAACACTAAGATCGTAACAAAAATTGTAACATCTTAATAAAAAAACTATATATTTGAAGTATATTCTTTAGACATGTATGATTGAATTTTTACACTCCATTACTATTTATAACATACCAATAAACATTTGTTCGAAATTAGACATATTTGGCCCATTACTTGGTTTATCATAAGTCCATTATTTAAAAACAAAGCTTACAATTGAAATGTTTATAGTCTAAATCCTATATAAAAAACTTCATTTTAAAGGCATGCATTCACCACCGCCGAAGCATAACTGTAGTTACTTTGCATCTTGTCATTCTCATCCTGCATTTCTTCTTGGCTTGTAATGATCTCACAATTTTTTCACAATTTGGTAACAACTTTGTAGCAGTTTTTACTCGAGCTTGCTACAATACATGATTCTATTTAAGATCTGGATCGTTTGGGGCGGGTAGGGGTGGAAATAGACTAGGCCGAGTTAGGTTTTGTCAAGTCTAAGCTTGACCTAAAAATATCAAAGCCTAAGCCTGACTTGTAGCTTGTTATACGCTTATTTTTAGGCCTAAGTCTAGGCTTATTTTTATGCCTAAGCCTAGAATTTTTCTAAGCCTGGTATTTTTGAAAGTCTGATGAGTCTGTTAGTCTATTTAAAAGTCTATTTTATTTGAACAAATGTAAATAAACAATTCCATTAATGTTTATGTAAACTAAAAACTAAAAGATAAATGATACAAAAGGTTTGTTTGCATTGACTTACCTGAGTTTGCCTAGTAGCATAAGTGTTATGATACAATTTGTTTAGGAAAATTTATGAAAACAACTTGGGACATTATTAGTAAGGTGTTTTTCAGCCTATTTTCATAGTTTTTTTTCTAGATAACTAAGTTTTATTTTTATATTTTTAATTCAAAGTACAATATATAATAAAATAATAATAATAATAGTAATAAAATTATTCATATTTATTTAAATAGGCCGACTTGAAAGGCTTAAAATACTTTTTTATGGCCTGAGGCTTAACCTTTAACTAAATAGGCTTATTAAAAAGTTTAGGCCTTTTCTATTTTAAAAAAAAAGGCTGGCCTAAGCTTGCGTAGGTTAAGCTTTAGGCTCCTGTTAGTTGGTCTGACCTATTACTGTCTTTAGGAGCCGGTTAGATTGCAGAATTGTAAGATTCTAAGACCTAAGAGCAATATCTTGACAACCTCCTTCCAAATCCAAACCTAACTAATTTTGGGCTTAGTATAAGGTTGGGGCATGACACACCCATGGGTTAATTCAGAAATTTCCAATTCCCAAAGTGAATTTGGTTAAGGGAAATACTTAGGGCCAATAAATACAAAAGAAAAACATGGGAGGACTTGAGGGCTTGGCTTAACGCTTGGGGTTTAAGTTGGTTTATTTGTCGGAGTTTTTAACCTGACACTGGCTTGGCCTTACACTTGGGGTATGATCTTAGACTTCATTAACCCAAAGTTTAAGTATGATTCACGAGCCTATGCCCGGGTGATATGGGCCAAGGACCGGTCCTGCTCATATATTGGAAATTATAGTTAGAGTTAATCTTAGCATTTCTAAACTGTTAGTTTTCTTTCTTCCTGAGATGTGAAAAGGCTTAGTCAATTTTATTATTATTTGTTAATTTTTTCTTTTCAATTACCAACTGATGTTGTGAATCTTTTGAAAGTAGATTCTTTTCATACACTGTGCATTTAGCTTAGCTGTGCTGACATGGGTAGTTTCCTTCTGATATTGATGTTTTTGTTTTTCCATAGGTCTTTTCTGTGTGGTGGATCAACCGGCTTATTTATCTATGGCTACTGCTTGTATTATTACTATGCACGGTCAGATATGTCTGGTTTTATGCAAACTTCGTTCTTCTTCGGTTACATGTCTTGCATCTGCTATGGCTTCTTTCTCATGCTCGGTAGCGTAGGTTTCCGTGCTTCCTTGCTCTTTGTCCGCCACATATACAGGTCCATCAAGTGTGAGTAGTCTTGGTTGAACGATGTGGTGGTAAGTTTACATTATTGGTGTTAGGTAATGAGAAAAGGGCTATGAAATTGTTTTCCTTTTTTTCCTGTCATAAGGTAGATTATATAGTGTACCTGATAACAAGAGAAGCTTTGACTCTTCTGAATTAGTGTCATGTTATCTCTGTTGTTTAATTTGCACAGGCTTGACACTTGAGGAAGATTTTTGAACCATCGGTTTAAATGTTTTATTACTGTAGTTACTGAAATTTATTCGATGTAGATTGTACTAATTAATATTTCTATATGCTTATGATATTTGCCGTTTAATCATATATGCTTTATGCTTTAAAAAAATATTCCATTTGTTTCAATTTCAACTTTCAGCTATAGGGATTTGAACATGTCAACTTTCAGCTATAGGGATTTGAACATGTCAACTTTCAGCTATAAGGAAAATAAGAAGTCAATACATAATTTATTTTTTATTAAGATGGAAAGCAATCACTGCCATTGCCATCCCACATTGTTATTGTCGACTTGTTACAATATTTGTTGTTTCTGAACAGTATAGATCCACCAATTGCTGCTTCTATGAGTGACACAAGTAATATTTTTTTAAAGCATGGTGAAGGGGAAAAATTGATAATTCCAAAGTGTAAAAGTAAAGCAAATTAATGGTTTTTCTCCACCACATGTGGAGTATCACATATACGAAAAGGCCATCATAAGGCCTGCCCAAAGAACCAACTTGTATTTGTATATTGCTGTAGCGCAGGAAACTAGTCATATTTTATTTAGATAATTCAACAAAATATACAAATAGTGTAAGGTATAATTTAAAAGGGAAGATATATCTCTTTGAATAAAGAAATTTGATCTCTCAAATTTGATTTACAAAAATATATGTATTGTAAGAATTATGTTAGATAATTTATAAATAAAATAAAATAAAAATATAGTGATATGTCGGGTTCATGGATTTAAAACTTATTTCAAAGTAGTAATTATTATAATTTTGTCAAAATTATTCTTAACTATTTATTATGATAGAGAAAAAAATATATTGAAATGATTAAAAGTTAAGGGTATTATAAATAAAAGAAAAATCATATTTTAAAAAGTAATAATAATTATTAGTTTTTTTATTATGTGTAAAAAAATTAAAATTAAAAAGTAATGGAGGGAGAACTATTCAATAAAGCCTATAAACAATATTCAATAAAGCCAATAAACAACTAGGATTACGTTTTTCTCATGACACTCATCTCATAACCAATATTGAATCCAATTTAGTAGAGTTTAAGGTGCGTCAATTTTTTTGTGGATAGAAAAGCCATTTCTATTGAGCAATAGTAACATAAACACAGAGGAAACATTTCCAGAGCACTGGGAAATCCCCCAAACCAAGTCCTAGAACTAAAAGTTTTTGTCTAAACCAACCAAATGGTGAGCATCCACATTAAACATTCTGCTCAAATACATAATTGAAGCTACCTTAAAATTATTCAAAAGTAATCTACAGTTTAGAGCAATTGGATCAAGATCAGCAATAGACAACAAAGTATCAATACAATCTACCGCATTGACTGCATCAGATTGAATAAAAACACTATCAAGATTCAAATCCTGCGCAATTTAGAGACTCCATCTAATTGCAAGCATTTCAGCAACACACGGGTTGATCGAAATTGACTCCTTCCTGCTAGTGGCTACCATAACCTTTCTCTGTTATGATCTTTGACAACACACCCAAAGGTAATAAAACCACCTTGAAAAACACCAGCATCGACCTGCACGACATAGACACCTTTCGAGATGGGTTCCCCACTAATGCAACCGAAATATGATTCTCCATAACCTGCGCCTTTTGATTTTCTCTGTTAAATTCTAGCACGCAATACAACGCCGCCTCTGCCACTAACCGTGGTTCCATCTTCTTCTGCTGATACAACAATTCATTTCGGGCATATTCCATATTTTCCAAATAGATGTGCAAAGCAGCTGAGAACTCAACTGATTCTTGCCCTTCAGGCAACTCAACGACCAGTCATTAACTTCCATATAAGGTGGGATGTGGTATCCCATTGGGGAGGAAAAGCATGTCATTTTTGCAAAATCACAATGCATAAAAAGGTGATGTGCTATTTCAGGGGCAGAGAGACAGAGAGAGAGCACAAAGAATCTAACCTGACTCCATTAGTTTGGAGATTTTATTTTGTAGGCAGAAAAATGTTTTTGCAAGGCGCCACAGGAAGTTGCGAACTCAGGGCAAAACCGATAAGTGCCAAATTATCTTCCATAGCTTGTTGTGAGGGGTGCTAGAAGGACCAAGACTCTTTATCAACTTGACTTGTTGGAGAAGGTGGTATGCTGACCTAACAGACTACTCTCCATTTTTTTTTGTGGTGCCAAATTAGCTTGTGTTCGGGTTGCCTAATAGATAGGGGTATGCTCAGGATTTGGTTCGCCTCCAAAGGACTAAAGCATGCCTGGACCAACTCTTTCTTCCAAGTACCCAGGTCATTATCAATTAATTCACGCACTATTGTTTCTCTGCCAAGGACACGCACAAGACTGAGAGGCTTGAAATCGGATGTGACAGGAAGCCAATTATCTACCTACATACGCATTTTCTCCCTATTGCCAATTCTCCTATGGGCACCCCTAGGCACTACTTCCTTCGCACCGAGGATACTCCTCCCAGCGTAACTCAAGCTGAAACCAAGAGAGGCATCAACAAAGGAGTTTTGAGGATAGTATCTGCCTTTGAGCACCTTCCCTAACAAAGATTGCTTATTTGATAATAATCTCCAAGAGTGTTTACGAAGTAAACTTGTGTTGAAATCACTGATGCTCCGAAATCTCAAACCACCAATCTCTTTTGCTCACACCATTTTATCCCAACTTAACCAATGAATCTTCCCATTTCTATCCTTCGATCCACACAAAAATCTAGCAATCATGGCTTCAATCCCATAGAAGCAACTTTCTGGGAATTTGTAACAACTCATTATGTAGCTTGAAATAGTCTGCGCCACAACTTTGATAATAACCTCCTTTCCCGCTCTAGAAAGAAACTTCTCCTTCCACACCATCTCAATGACTAAGGTAAAAATGTCCTTCTTAGACCTCCCAAACACCACAGCCAACCCCAAATATTTAGCATGGCTCATCACAGTCTTTATCCCCATCCCGTTATGGATCGTTTCTCTAGCAACCTCCCATAAGTTTCGACTGAATGACGCCTCCGATTTGTCCAAATTCACCACCCGGCCGGAGGACTCTTAGCATCTTTGAAGAATATCCATGATGCAATTCACTTCAGTAGCATTTGTCCTAGCAAAAAACAAAATGGCAGGAGCCTTCCTAGATACTTGGATACCATGAATCTTTCTCCTGCGATTTTCTTGCCTCACCATACCTGAAAACACACCAGCACACAAAATGAATAAATAAGGTGAAATGGGATCCCCCTATGGGAGGCCCCTCTAGTGAAACTCTTGCTAGCTTGCCGTTGACAAGGACTTGGTAGGAAACATAAGAAATACACTTTCAGATAAGATTGACCATGGACTCTGGAAAACCCACAGCTTAAAACTCCAGTAACGAAATCCCATTCCAATCTGCCGTACGCCTTGGACATATCAATCTTGAGTGCCATCACACCTTTATTTCCTTTTGTTTTCTTTTTAATCTAATGGAAACATTCCATGTCTATAAGAGCACTATCTGTAATCAATCGACCTTGAACGAAAGCGTTTTGTTCCTCATCTATCACCTCCGGGAGAATCCACTTCAACATGTTAGCAATTGTCTTAGTAACCATTTTTATGGCCACATTACAAAGGCTAATGGAACGAAAGTCTTTAGGGGATGCATGATTCTTGCAATTCTCGATAGCTCTTTAGTCACTCTACCGAGTCTATACTCCTTGAAATGCTCACCCAACCCCTGTATAGCTTGAAGATGGTGATGCCCATGGATAACATTTCCATTCCACAACTGTCCCATCAGTTTTTCGCATTTAGGATCCTTTGATTGGTTTGTGTTCGCCTTCCTACCCCCTTTCTCCTTGTCCATTTCTTTCTTTTGATACTTGGCTCCTTAACATTTGATCCTCCTTCCATTCCCTTTTTTGAGATATCCACCGCCCCTAAAGATTTTGCAATCGATTCTATCTCTAAGATGCTGCTCTTCAAAATTCCTTCTTTCAGGCCTGAGGTTTCACCTACAGGGGTTCCACTTCCAATAAATTGTTCTACTTCCACATATTTTCCTTCCTCGTCCTTACCTTTTTTGCCATATCTACTTTGACTTGAAGAAATATTAAAGAGGCTCTTGCTACAAGTATTGAAGCTAGAATCCTTCTTCTTTTGTTCCACAGATACTCTTGGCAGAGGAGAAGCCCTGACCTATAGCCCAAAAGATATATCCTGTTCATCCAGATCATCAAGATCTTCTTCACATAGGACCCCATATTGGCAAGGAATTTGCAACATCATGAGCTTAAAAATTCCCCGCGCTTGCCATACGAACTTCCTCTTTCTCTCCACCTTGTTTAACATTTATATATAGGCCGAATCAGGGACCTCAAACAGAGGAGGATAGCAGTACTATACCTTGTTTTCCAAGAAACGAAAATCGAAGAGTTGATCATAGAAAACCACGGTTTCCTATCCATGGAATTCGGGGAAGAATTTACCAAGAAACCAGGCTTCTTGATGAGTCTAGGGAGAGGACCCAGGAAGGCAAATGTAATGTCCACAATGGAATAAAGGATCAAAGCATCAAAATACCAAAGTCTTCTGGTGACTTCTACCAGAGGAGGCCCCAGGACTTAAGTCCACTTGTTGATCAAAATTGACTCATCAATACGAGCAGCGAACGGAGTATGCGCTTGTACAGAGTGATGAAATGCCATTGATAATCCTGGAAAATATGAAGGAACTAGCAACTGGAGATGGCAGAAAAAAATCTGATAACACTTCTTGCCTTTTTCTTTTTTCTCAGTAGGGAAGATGAAAGAAGAAAGTACATACCGGAGGAAAAAGAGTTTAAATAGAAAGAAAAAAGGTGGCAAAAAGTTTCCCTCAGAATCATGGACAAGTGGCATGTTTGAAGCCAATGAAGGGCCTCAAGGTGTGGAAAATATGATTAATGAAATTAAAAATAAAATTTTAATTTCATTGTTAGTGGTTATTTAATGACTTTGAAAACCGGGACAATGATGGATTGTCGGTTGCACATCTTGAGACATGACGTTTTGGTGAAAAGTTAGTCATGATGACTGACAAAAGACGTGACTTTTTGGTGAAAAGTTAGTCACGATGACTGATAAAAGGCATGACTAAGATGATGTGTACAGAACACGTGAAAGAGTGACAACATGGTTACAAAAAATACCACATCTCTCCCTTCAGATATTGGTCGAAAGTGACATTTTTGGGGGCATATGTTACACTTAGATTTTTAACTAGAAGAAAGTTAAAAAAGAATATAAAAATGAAAAGACATTTGTTGTTAGAAGACATTAATGAAGTATTTTACATTAATGAGGAGTCTTAAGGGCATCGATAGCAAAGCGTCGGCAGGGCATCTATCATGGTGTTGACGAAGGGAAATATAGTTTGGAGGAATCTCAGTAATAGATCCACAAGAATAGGATCATCTGGAAACAAGTCTAGAATCTTGAAAAAGGCAGTCGACATAAACCTTTACTGCAATAAATAAACCAATCAACTAAACCAGGAAAGGTTAAAAGACTTAGTAATTTTACAAGTTCAAAAAACATTTGCAAGAAATGTCGATAGCACATTGGATAATTACTCTCAAAAGTACGTAGGGGAGTTTGAAGCGGTTATAACTCAATATGGGTTGTAAACAGAGAGAATCGTGTGTGATATGTAAGCACATTAATGGAAATCTGAAGATCAAACATGGAGTAAAACACACTAGTTTCATAGTGGGTGAAATTTGTCATACCCTACATTTGTCCTACCCTTTAATACTTTTATCTGGCTTATACATCTCATATTCCTCATGTACATATCCTTCATTAGGTCATCTAACACATCATGCATCCACTAACACCGAGGCTCGACATTTGAGATCAATGGTCTTGGAGTAGGGTTTATACTTCCATGTGCTTAGGTTTATCTGGCGAATTTGGTTTTGGCTATGCAGTTATCAAGAGCTTAACACTTGGGTCTTTACTCATCACATGAAATGGCTCAATCATTACTTGTAATACAAGGAATTCCACAAGACTTCATTCAATAGATATTGAGCTTAGGCATGGAAGTTATTGAGGGTCATCGTCTTGCGCTTAAAACATTGATGCTTTGATGTGGTCTCATTATTGTCTTCTATCTCCTACCTCGATTTACGATATCTTGGTCAAGTGCTTATTCACTTATGACGATTCACTTTTGTTCTTCTCTTGCCTTGATTATTTGATATCTTGGTTATGAGTCGGTCCCCCTTTCTTTCTTTCCCTAATGATTTGATATCATGGTTAAGAACCATTATTCCCCCATTTCGCTTGCCTCGACGATTTGATGTCTTGGCTAAGCATCCCTTTATCCTACCTTGATGATTTGATATTATCGCCAGGTACCCCACTTTCTTTGTCCTACCTCGATGATATAATATCGTTGTTAGGTATCTCTCTCTTTATCCATCTTGGTGCCTTGATACCTCGATTAGGTGTGTGCTACTTGAGTGAGTAGATGCTCCTTAAGCTTTGTTTGTTTGTTTTGGCTTCAATTCGACTTTGTTTGTTTTCACTTTGTGCTTATGCTTTTCATTAGGTTGTAACCTCTGTATGCTCCCTTAGGATACACTTGTTTCGTTTCCGGTGCAAGTTAGATATTAGGATTGTAATCCATGCAAGCTAACTTAGTTAGAGGTTCTCCTTTTATCCTTGAACTTAGGGCCATCATTGTATGATAATATTAGGGATTAGATTTAGGATAGTTTCCCTTAGATGTTTTCTTTTCTTTTGCATCCTTAAAACTAAAACCCTTTTTCTTTTTTCAAATGCATAAAATATCTAAAAATTCTCAAATCCTTTTTCAAGGTAAAAATCACTAACCAATGCAAATATTTTTGTCTTCAGACTTTCTTTTTCTTTTTAAACTTTTTCAATAAGGATATGTTGTTTCAAATTTTAACAATTTTGAAATGCTAAGTACGCAAGGGGCCGAGCATGAGTCTCTTTACGAGTTGCAACTCCAAGCACGAATTGCAATCCTAATCGTAAGGATGAGAATAATGTATTACCCATAAAAACACAAAACAAATAGAAACATGTGAGTCGAACTATGACACTCTGATTCTTTAAAAGGGATACATAGGCATCTGGTCGCGAAGTTCATCCGAGCGAAACTTTGTAAATATTTCCTTCTTTTCCCGTGTTTTTCTTTTACATGCATTCCCCCTTTATTTTTTTTTATTTTAGACCTTAAGCTGAAGAGTTAAACACACCATTTTATTAGAACAACAAGAGTGGATCCCATGGAGTACCACAAATGTGAAGAGTGCTAATACCTTCCCCTTGCATAATCGACTCCATTACTCGTATCTCTCGGTCGTTTGACCTTGATTTCACCCTTCTCAGATTTACTCGGTATTTACCTTTCCCTTCGTGTGGGATAAAAATAGTTCGATGGCGACTTCATTGATTTTATCTCGATGATTTGTTCAGTTGGTTGTTTCAGCTGGTGACTTCACTAGGGACAGATTGACCAATTGCTGGTCCATCCCGGAGTCGCTCCTAGCTCTTGTTTTCTTTTCCTCGAGTGTTTATTCTTTATGCTTTGCAATTATTCATTTGTACATGTTTATCTGAGCATATGTTTGCATTGCATCTTATTGCTTTCCATATATTGGTTTCTGCTGTGCTGGATTATGTGTTTCCTTGTTGAGAGAGTGTTACTATGAGGTAAAATGCCCAATATCCAGGCCAAGTGAAAAACAGTAGGAATACTAGGAATAGAGTGGAACATGACGGCTAGTGGACGTATGTCCTAATAGTGCAGACATGTCGTCCATGCTCAGATGAGGTTCAAATGAGATGCTATCATTGTTACATAGGTGTTACAATGATAGTATTTTCAGGCGGGCCCGAGATTCTGAGTTACCATTGACCTTACCCAAACCTAGTATTCATCTGTGAGCGGGGAGGGAATATTTTTACAGGTTCTGATGGTGACTATGTTCTGTTGGTGACTGTGTTCCATTAGTGATTATCTATTCCATTCTGTTGGTGTTTTCATGGTTCTTTGGGTTTATATTCCGTACTTTTGACTATGGTATTCTTAGCATGTTCAGAAACGGCACAACACATATCTAGTGTCGTGGAGACCTTGATTCCATGTTATTGCACATGCATCGTGGCATATTTATTTTCCAAAATAAATGTCAAAAAAATAAAAAAATATTGTCTAATCTGAATATGCATGTCATTTCCAGGATATTATGAAGTTGTCATTAGCATCAAAGATGGATAGCAACATGGAAGCAACTAGAGAGCTACTAGAAAGACTTCCGATTATCAGTTCAAGATCTTTGGTGGTCCGTTAAAATAACTGGGAGCTCTTTTGAAAGGGATGAGTGAGAGAGTCTTCAGAGAGAAGTATGGGAATTTATTGTTGTTAGTGAATGACTAATACGAGGGATGGGCTATGAGATCACTTCTCCAGTTTCATGACCCTCAAATGTATTGCTTTACTTTCTAGGACTATTAGTTAGCACCGACACTTGAAGAGTATGATTACATTCTTGACATTGAGATTACAAGAGGTATTCCTTTTGTCCGAGTGCTAGAGGTTCCCGATTATAAAGCCACCGCTAAGGCTCTTTATTTGAACCTTAGTGAAGTGAAGGGTAATTGGACGAGCAAGAGTGACACGCGCGGTATCCCTTTGGGATTTTTGATATCCAAAGCCAAAAGTTTGCAAGGGATCAGAATTGGATTGCATTCAACGTACTATTAACAGTCATGATTTATGGTGCAGTCATCTTTCCGATTGCGAAAATTTTTATGGATCATTCAACAGTCTGTGTCTTCATGAACGATAATCCAATGTCGACCATACTTGTTGACACCTATTACGCCATCCATTCCCGACATGGCAAGAAAGGATTCGTCATGTAATGTATTCTATTGCTCTATAAGTGGTTTATTTTGCATATGCCTACAAGAGGACCATTTATGAATTCCACAAATTCTCTTCTCTGATATCAAAGGATTATGGCACTTACTTCTTATGACATTGTTTGGTATAAAATAAGGGGTGTGAAGGAGATCATTGAAAGCTATGGTGAGTTTCCTAACGTTCCTCTCATGGGAACGAAAGGTTGCATAAATTACAATCCCATTTTGGCAAGCCGCCAGTTGGGGTATGTTATGATGGATGAACCTACTGACCGGAAAATAGAAGAAATTGTTTATTTCGACAAAGGGGAAGATCCTGTTCTACTGGAAATAGTAAGAGCCTCTTGGGGTCATGTTCATAAGAAAAGGAAGGTTTTCTTTGACTAGAGAGTATGTTTAGCTTTTGATGCCTATGCACAATGGATTCAAAATAAAGTAAAGGTGTTGTTATTATCGTACAAAAGAGAGGAGCTTCTGTATCCTCAACTTGTTTTTGAACCATCAATTGATATCCAGTTGTTGCC